ACTGGGCAGATGCCCAGATGCAGCAGGAAAAATAATCTCATAAATACAAGCCACTAAATAACATGCTTGCTCAATGGCAAGGAGCCACAAACAGATTCTGCATGCGCCAAATGCCACCATCCATCACTTTAATGGGTGTACTCTGGAAATTAAACCTGTCATGGCCTATCAATGAGAATGTTTCGACCTGTGACACCCTGATATACTCACTTCTTGCATCTTTTTCTCTGCCACATGCCACTTACCCCATATGCTTCTACTTAGGTTGCAACTTTTTATATCCTGGGACTCTGGTGGTAGGGGGTTTTTTTCTAACCAAGGATGTGATAAGCCAGGGATTTCCATCAAAATGCAGTATGGGGTTCCTGAGACCCCAATTCTTTGCTACCTGTCTTGTATAAATACAAAGCTAGAGAATTGGTTTATGCTAAAGAGGGCAGGTTGATTGTGCCAATTTCGTAAGAACAAGGCCTATCCACCTTAAGAATACCAAGGAACCATGGCTCCGATTTTTTCTGTGTGCCCAATGATGATAAATAAAGGACGTAAAGCACACGGCTTCAAGGAATCTCAACTGCAAGCTTGTTTACCGCTGCTCAGGAGACTAGGCTCCTTCCACACAGCTGAATAAAATTCCACATTTTCTGCTTTGAACTGGGATATATAGCAGTATGGATCCATATCCCAGTTCAAAGCAGATATTGTGGGATTTTCTGCTTTGATATTCTAGGATGTATGGCTATGTAGAAGGGCCTTGGGACATGGAGCAATAGATTCAAATTGCAGGAAAAAAAGATTCCACCTAAACATTAGTAAGAACTTACTGATGGTAAGAGCTGTTCATCCCGCCCCTGCTTAAAAACTTCCAGAGGAGACTCCATCATGCTCTGAAGTTGAAGGCCAGAACATCTGGGGACCCACAGGTTGAGAACCACTGACCTAAAGTCTTATGGGAGGTATTTTTCTAAATCTTTTTAAAATTATGTTAGCATCCAACCTGGCAAACATGAGATATAAATCTAATCCCACAATATATAGCATATTCAGTGAAACTCTGCTTTCTACGAAACATTTTAATTATCTTTTAGGCTACAGAGAAAGGTCGGATATAGATGGCCCTGCAGATGTTGTTAGATATCTAATACAGAGCTTCACTAAGAGAATTTCCTCTGTTAGAACTCTGAAGTAATGGTTTAACGACACTGAGCTATGTGTGACAGCCAAGATTTCAGGGGCATTTTATTTTAATAAATATTATTCTAAGGTCTTGAAAGAAAGCCAGAAAATAAAGATGAAATTGCAGAAATGTCTTTTTACTATAGAGCCAGTGTGGTGCAATGGTTTGAATGTTGGAGAACATGGTTTGAATCCCCACTCAGCCATGGAAATCCTCTGATTGACCTTGGGCAAGTCACACACTCTCAGCCTCAGAGGAGCCCCCGGTGGCGCAGTGGGTTAAACCCCTGTGCCGGCAGGACTGAAGGTCACAGGTTCGAATCCGGGGTGAGGCGGATGAGCTCCCTCTATCAGCTCCAGCTCCTCATGCGGGGACATGAGAGAAGCCTCCCACAAGGATGATAAAAACATCAACTCATCCGGGCATCCCCTGGGCAACGTCCTTGCAGACGGCCAATTCTCTCACACCAGAAGTTTCTCAAGTCGTTGCTGACATGACCAAAAAAAAAGCCTCAGAGGAAGAAAATTGCAAACCACCTCTGAACAAATGTCGCCAATGACAGGGTCATCTTTGGACCACCATAAAGCCAGAAATGACTTGAAGGAACACAACAAGCATTATTTGAGCCCATACCTCTAACACACCACTTTAATACACATTGAGCTGCAGTTGCTCTCTGCAGTCTCTGTGTGTCACTCTCGTTCTTCAGAACTTCTGTGTGTTGCTACTTGGAGCAGGTGGCCAACAAGTGTGTAATAAATTCATGTCATGCGATTTTAGGGTAGGAAACTGAAGATATTCATAAGGAAGGCTCTTCCCACTTTTTTCATGTCCCTATTATACTACATGGCTCCCTCACCAAGTTCCACATCATTTGCTCATTCAAATGAAAAGATAACATAATCATAATAGTGTTAGGAAGACACAAACTGGGTTATGGAAGAGAACTGGAAAGGTTTCTACTGAATCAAGTTCTGTCTCAAGCTGGATCTACACTGCCCTATATCCGAGGATCTCATCCCAGATTATCTGGTAGTATAGACTCATATAATCTGGGATAAGAAGATAATCTGGGATATAAGGCAGTGTAGATCCAGCCAGTCCCATTGAATCAGTTCCCCCTCTGCCCCACTCAATATGCTCACCAGCCGTTTATACTGTACAATATTTCAATGTTAGGTCTCCATTTTACTTGAGGTCTTATAGCATTGAAGATCTCTTCTTTTGATATGCTGAATTTTTTGCATCCCTTCTGAGAAATGCAGCGTTCACCTTCACCAGTATGAATACAGAATACATATCAGGATTCTTTGAGGCACAACTGTCTGTGCTCAGGACCTTGGGGTCAAACTACATGTGTTTTAAATGTGACAGTGTAGATCCAAACTTATTCAAAGGTTTGTCTGCCTTCCTTTTTGAATGAGAGAATCAGACATACCCAAGTTTGCCCCTATGGGTATCATGGCACACCTCTTATCATATTAACAGCAAAATCAGTCTGAAATCTACTTTTTATCAGGTTGATATTAACAACCAAGTTTCTGGATGCCACACTGAGAAAGAAGCAGTGTGTTAAACAATACTGGCTCCTTCCTTTTGTGCAGCCTGATCTGATGTATGTTTACAGTGTCATGTTTAGGTTACTGCCTTTGTTTGGAGACTGGAAAGCTGGTCCAGAGAGCTGTTGACAGACTGTTAATGGGCTGGCTACAAGGAGCACACAACTTCCTGGATGGAGCAGCTCCCTTGGCTGCTGATCTGTTTCTGGACACAACTCAAAATGCTGCTTGCAATTGATAAAGCCAAGATATGTTTAGGATTATTTACTCATAAGAATCTGCCTGTATTCTGAGATCTTCTGGGTGGCTCTTTTCTCTGTCCTAACATTGTCACTGATACAACTGGCAGGAACATGGGACAGGGCCTTCTGAGGCCCCATCAACACTGCCACACACCTGCTTTAAATTGGATTATTTGGCAGAACAGACATATAATCCAGTTCAAAACAGATAATCTGGATTATCTACTTTGATAATCTGGATTATGTGGCATTGTGGAGCCAGCATCAGCAGCTGCTCCCAGGTTTTGGAATTCCTTTCTGAGGTCCCTTCTACACTGCCAAATCCAGATTATCTGTTTTGAACTGGATTATATGTCAGTGTAGACCCATATAATCCAGTTCACAGCAGATAATGTGGATTATATGGCAGTGTATAATGGGTCCTAGAGAGAATAGAATAATCCTTACCTCAGCAGGTGACAATCTGTTTGATTCAGCTGGAATTTGAAGGCTCAGTGGTGAAGGGGTTTTCATCATGTGTTGTGTTGCTTATATTTGTTGTTTTTGTTTTCAGTCTGCATCCTTTTCATTGCTTTTAATTCTGTTGAGTTTTTATTTTTATATGATGCCAAACTCACTTTGTTTTAATTTTTGTAAGACACCAAGAAAAAACTAAAATTAAAAGAAATAGAATAGTAGTAAATCTGGCTGTTGTGGCTTGCTCTCTGGGATATGTGTACAACACTATTGTGTGGTTCATCATGGAAGTCGTCCTAACAGTATCATGCAGACAACTGAGTACATAGAGTTTAATCCACTCCTATTACAGCTGTTCATAGCCATGATTTGATAATACCTATTCCCAGATTACTGTTGCCACCTTACAGGCTGAAATATCATAGCCATTCTATACCCAATGTGTGAACATGTCTGGTTCTGGAATGTCTTTCCACTACCTGTGACTCTACCTGGGTTTTTTCCCCCTGCTTTTGAAAAAGATACTACCCAGAAGGGTGGAAACTGCCATGGTTCATACCAACTGGCATAAACAAAGATTGATCTTCATCAATAATGGCTGAAGAGCTAGACTGGATCTACACTGCCGTATATCCCAAGATCTGATCCCAGATTATCTGGTTATGGCAGATTTTTTGTGTGTGTCAGGAGTGACTTGAGAAACTGGAAGTCACTTCTGGTGTGTGAGAATTGGCTGTCTGCAAGGGCATTGCCCAGGGGACAGTGAGAGATTGGTCTTCATCAAAAATGGCTGAAGAGTTAGACTGGATCTACACTGCCCTATATCCCAAGATCTGATCCCAGATTATCTGGTTATGGCAGTTGTTGTTGTTGTTGTTGTTGTTGTTTTCGTGTCAGGAGTGACTTGAGAAACTGCAAGTCATGTCTGGTGTGAGACAATTGGCTGTCTGCAAAGACATTGCCCAGGGGACGCCTGGATGTTTTGATGTTTTCCCATCCTTATGGGAGGCTTCTCTCATGTCCCCACATGGGGAGCTGGAGCTGACAGAGGGAGCTCATCCATGCTCTCCCTGGATTCAAACCTGTGACCTATCTCAGATTATTTTGCAGTGTAGACTCATATTCAAAAGCAGATGATGTTCAAAGCAGATAATTTGAGATTGGATCCTGGGATATAGGGCAGTGTAGACCCAGCCCTAGAGAACTGGTATTATATTGCAGGGTGCATGGCTTTTGTTGCTGATTCCTCAAGAATCAGTTAATAACTTTGACCCAAAAGTTATTGAGCTATTGTCAGCCAAGCAATTCACAGCCTGCTGATATTCTGTAGTACATGTCTTTATACCAATGTAAGGGGAATGCCGGGATAGGTTTCCACCTCAGTACAATAACAATTACAAGATAAATATATTCCAAACACACATAAATTAATTGGCACAGTTTCAGCAGGGCATCAGCCCAGGAAGTGTCTCTTTAAAAGTCTGTTAGCAGGACATGGAAACAAAACGGCTTTTTGATAGGTTGAAGCTGATTTCCAGATGCTCTTGCTGCTCTGCTTTTGAGGTCTCATAACAGCTGGCTCCTCTCCCTGTGAGTGGTGCTTTGCATTTCTTCTTCCACTTCCGACTCTGAGAGATCAGGACTGTAGCTGAAAGTCTCGGCTTTGTGGTGCAGGAAGCGTGTGCTGGCCCTTTGCCTTGTACATTCGTCATCAATGTCCCCTTCTTCATTTTCTTGCCCTCGCACTTCTCCAGGGAGTAGTTTCTCTGAGCCCTTGCTGACTCCCCTCTGTTTCTCAGCCTCAGCTCCCATCACCTGCTCCTTGGCCTTCCGACTCCGCTTCCATTTCATTCTGCGATTCTGAAACCAGATCTTCACCTGTGAGAGATGGACCAACAGATGGTGACTCAGATAATGTGAGATTTTCTGCCTTGATATTCTGGGATATGGGGCTGTGTGGAAGGGCCTATAGACTCATAATCCAGTTCAAAGCAGATGATGTGGGTTATCTGCTTTGATGATCTGGATTATATAGCAGTGTAGAAAGGGCCTGAATCTGTCATATTTCTTATAACCCCTAGATCAGTGACTCTCAAATGTCGGTCCTCCACAGTTCTTGGACTTCAGCTCCTAGGAAGCTCAGGGCCCTTCCACACAGGCCTATATCCCAGAATATCAAGGCTGAAAATCCCACATTATCTGAGTGTGGACTCAAATAACCCACTTCAAAGCAGATATTGTGGGATTTACTGCCTTGATATTTGGGGATATAGGCCTGTGTAGGAGGGCCCTCTATTAATTGGCTCTTATTCAGAAATGTGGAGTTGGCCAGTGGAGGACATCCAGGGGTTTAGTGTAGTCCTAGTGGTAGCAAGAGAGCAGGGGTTTGCATTATCATTGGCTATTCCCAGGCATAACAGGTGAGTAGGAGTCTGTGTTACTGGTTGGGATGGGATGCCACAGGGCTCTCCTCTTAGCCGGATTGCCACGCTTTGACTGTGGTCTCTTGTTCTTATCCTTTGACCATTACCATGACCTGCAGGTGTCCCAACCCCTTTCAGACCCACAGGGTCTTTCTGGCTGATGGGAAGAAGGTGCCTTGACCCAGCCTTGACCTTACAGTTCCTGGCCTAGCAGCCAAACCACAACCTATCTCACAATGGCACATCAGGAATGAACAGTGCTGGAGAAAGAGGTTGGCACAGACAGAGCACAGCAGAGCACAGTCCCTTCCCCTTCGGGCATTAATGTGGACTGTGCTGCTTTGTAATCTCCTGAACAGTGCTTTGTAGCCAAGTAATTAAAAGGTACTAGGCTCACCGCTTCTAGCTCCCTCAGCCAGTCGAGCCAAAGGTTAACACTTCTGGGAGATGAAGTCCTAAACATCTGAAGCATCAACTTTCTTCCAGGGCATGTTATTAACTTTGCCTTATTTGTGCAAATTGACCCATTATGTTCCATTCAAGGACAAAAGGCCGAGAAACAGAACTTTGTACAGAACTTTGCTATTGTTTATCAAGCAAAAGAACAACATTTACACTTCTGCATGTGTTAGGTTCTCATCACACCACTGTTTTAATTTTGAATCCTGATAAGTTTCAACTATGGTGGACTATGTAAGAAAAAAAGACACCCCCCCCCCCCCCCCCCCCCCCCCCCAACTCCCTGCCAGTCAAATCAGTGCTGGGAAAGACTACTTTATGGACCACAACTTCCGTAATCCCTTAGCCTGTATTGTCAGTAGAGAATTCTGCTGGAGAATCCTAAGCAGCCAGTGGCCTTTAGGGTCCTTCTACACAGCCAATAAACCAGAATATCAAGGCAGATAATCCACAATATCTGCTTTGAACTGGGTTATCTGAGTCCACGCTGCCATATAATCCAGTTCAATGTGGATTTTATATAGCTGTGTGGAAGGGGCCCAGAAAATCTACTGTACATTTTCTTATATCCCGAATGCTTTTTATAACTGCATACCTATTGTTCCCACTTGGACCAAACCTGCCCCCATTATTAACAATATGCATGGCAGTGAAGCTATTTTCTCACTTTAGCCCTTAATAGTTCTCTGCAAGAATCCCTGCCATTTTCATCAGGGAATACTGACAGATACAGGTCTTCAGTTTATTTAAATAGCTACATGCATGATTGATTAAAAGCCATGGCAGCTTGAGCTCATTCTCTTGAGATTTCTGAAGTTCATTCTCAATGTCTCCCATTGGACTGTACCTGTGTCTCGGTAAGCATCAGTGATGTGGCCACCTCAAAACGCTTGGGCCGTGATAAGTACTTGTTGATCTTGAACTGGTTCTCCAGCTCCAGAAGTTGCTGGCTGGTGAAGGCGGTCCGAGGGCGACGACATTTGCCCATCAGGCCAGACTGTGGGCCAGCTGTAAGGGAAAGCAAGAGTCACACAAATGGCTCAGAAGGATGAAACTACATTTAGCTGGCAGCATAATATGTACCTACCTGCACTGGAGCATTTGCCTGAGATAGAATTCATGTGCACAATTTTGTAAAAAAAACAACCCTTTGCCATCAGAGACAAAGGGTATGAAACAGCATTTATTCTACAGTGTAGATACCCAAAGTGCATAACTGTAGGGTGCAAATTAGCACTGAATAAAACAAGCAAATTTACACTGAGGCCCCTTCTACACAGTTGCATAAAATCTAGATTATATGCTTTGAACTGGATTATATGGCAGCGTAGACTCAGATAGTCCAGTTCAAAGCAGATAATCTGGATGCCCCCAGATGTTTTGGTCTTAAACTTCCAGAAATCCTAACAGATGGTAAATTGGCTGGGATTTCTGGGAGCTGTATACCAAAACACCTGGGGACCCACAGATTGAGAACCACTGGTTTATGGTTATGTGAAATAGGAAAGGTGAGCAGCTTTAAATATAACTCAACTTGTACTAAATATCTTCAATTTTTTTGCAATCAAAGTCATGTTTTTAATGGAGAAATGTATCCACCAAACCTCCTAGGCCCCCTCCACACAGCTGTATAAAATCCACATTGAACTGGATTATATGGCAGTGTGAACTCAGATAACCCAGTTCAAAGCAGATATTGTGGATTATCTGCCTTGATATTCTGGGTTATATGACTGTATGGAAGGGCCCTACTCACTTTCATCTTTCATCCTTGTTCAATTCCTGTTTGCTACCTATTTGACATTTGATTTATTGCAGTTTTAAATGCAACTTCTTCCCAGCTAGTCAGAGATCACATCACCAACCTGAGGACATTATGCCAGGTATCCCCTTCAATTCCAATGGGAACTTTTATATCTGTGTATAGACAACCCCAAACCCTAAATACCCTAAAGTCATCAGATCCCTTCAGATCCCCCTTTAAGCCTTCCTTGCCTAAGAAAACCCCACAAAATCCATGAGGTCACAATGTCAATAGGTTATTTGAAGGTGCACACACACACAAATGCATGAGAAGATCATGCATTTTGTAGAGTGATAGCTTTCCAAGAGGAAATTGTTATTTTGGGTCATCCATAAATGCCTGCATCTGTCTTTAAGTCATCTGTCAATTGATGCTGGCCCCATGGTTTGTATAGCATTCAAAGATTAATTAAGCAAGGAACATTCAAAGATAGTTTGCATGACCTTCCACTGATATATAGCCTATAGCATCTGGTGTTTGTTGTTGTTTATCCATTCAGTCACTTCCGACTCTTTCTGACCTCATGGACCAGACCACGCCAGAGCTCCCTGTTGGCCGTCACCACCCCCAACTCCTTTAAGGTCAATCCAGTCACTTCAAGGGTCCCTTCCATCCATCTTACCCTTGGTTGGCTCCTCTTCCTTTTTCCTTCCATTTTCCCCAGCATCATTCTCTTCGCCAAGCTTTTCTGTCTTCTCATGATGTGACCAAAGTACTTCACCTTGGCCTCTACTATTCTTCCCTCCAGTGAGCAGTCAGGCTTTATTTCCTGGAGTTTGGACTGGTTGGATCTTCTCGCAGTCCAAGGCACTCTCAGAACTTTCCTCCAGCACCACAGTTCAAAAGCATCTATCTTCCTTCGCTCAGCATTCCCTAAGGTCCAGCTCTCACATCCATAGGTGACTATGGGGAATACCATTGCTTTAACTATGCGGATCTTGGTTTCCAGTGTGATGTCTCTACTGTTCACTATTTTATCGAGATTGGTCATTGCTCTCCTCCCAAGAAGTAAACGTCTTCTGATTTCCTGGCTGTGTCTGCAGTAATCTTTGCACCTAGAAATACAAAGTCTGTCACTGCCTCCACATTTTCTCCCTCTATTTGCCAGTTATCAATTGGTCTGGTTGCCATAATCTTGGGTTTTTTAACTGCACCCCAGCTTTTGCACTTTCTTCTCTCACCTTGATTAGAAGGCTCCTCAGCTCCTCCTCGCTTTCAGCCATCAAAGTGGCATCATCTGCATATCTAAGTTTGTTAATGTTTCTTCCAGCAATTTTAACTCCAACCTTGGATTTTTCAAGTCCCGCACATCGCATGATGTGTTTTGTGTACAAGTTGAATAGGTAGGGTGAGAGTATACAGCCCTTTCCCACTCTTGAACCAGTCTGTTGTTCCGTGGTCTGTTCTTACTGTTGCTACTTGGTCATTATACAGATTCCTCAGGAAACAGACAAGGTGATTTGGTATGCCCATACCACCAAGAACCTGCCACAATTTATTATGATCCACACAGTCAAAGGCTTTAGAATAGTCTACAAAACAGAAATAGATGTTTTTCTGAAACTCCCTGTCTTTTTCCATTATCCAGTGGATATTGGCAATTTGGTCTCTCGTTCCTCTGCCTTTTCTAAACCCAGCTTGTACATCTCTCTCTCTCCATATATTGCTGGAGTCTTCCTTGCAGGATCTTGAGCATGACCTTACTGGCATGTGAAATAAGTGCCACTGTACGGAAGTTTGAGCATTCTTTAGCCTTTCCCTTTTTTGGTATGGGGATACAAGTTGATTTTTCCCCCAATCTGATGGCCATTCTTGTGTTTTCTATATTTGCTGGCATATGGCATGCATCACCTTGACAGCATCCTCTTTCAAGATTTTAAACAGTTCAGCTGGGATCCCGTCATCTCCTGCTGCCTTGTTATTCTCGTATCTCTTGGCAAAGCCCAGTCGATTTGCTATCTAGGACTGACCTTGATTAGTTTCCAAAATGAGATGGGACCTGGCACCTTGAGAGTATTTTGGTTTGGCACAAATGGCTACTCCTCTCATTCATTCCTCAGGAAATGTCCACCCAGCAAAAAGGATCATGTCCAGTCAGGGATGTGAATCTTCTGCCCACTCCCACGCCCACACCCAGTTTTGCTGGACCCCAACTCCTGTCAGCCTAGCCCATGGCAAAGGAGGCTGGGAGTTAAAGTTCAATAACACTTAGGTGCTGTGTATGTTCCACCCCAATCTATGATCATATTCCCTTTCTAGCACTGAGGTATTTGATTATGTACATGAAGCCAAAGAAATTGCAAAGAAACATAAGCTAGACACACTGAGCCTGTTGCCTTCCCTCCAGATAATGATTTTATTGCCCGGTTGATATTAGCTTGCTTGATACCTTATCAGTGCTCATTTTAACCATCACAAACAATTCCGTTGGTGAAATTAAACCTCCTTTATTAGCCTAAGGTGTATTTAATTACCTCCAGCTGTTTCATGCCATGATAAAGGCAGCCCTCCTTCAGAGGGGCTTAGGTGCTCCTATCTCTCTAATGAGCCTTTATCGGAGCAACTGCCAACTCTGGGAGAGAGAGAACAAAAGGAGCTTTGAGGGAGAGGGTGGAGCAGGGAGGGTGCCCCTTGATTCCCCAATTATCCTCAACTTTATGGGATGCCTCCAGGATTAACTTTTACTGCCCTTGACTAAATAGAGAACAGACATTTAGTGGTGAAAGTAGACAGGGACAGGTAGATACAGAATACCACAAACAAATAAAAAATAACATTATGAGAGTGCTTGACAAACATGTAATCCACATGGCTCACAGCACACATTCTAAACAACACATATGGGCCTAGAGAACTGACCAATGATATGGCATAATAAATAAAATGCTGGATCAGAATTTGAAAGATTCAGAATCAAGACCCCAATGAGCCCTGAAATTCATAGGTTAGCCTTGGGCATGTCTCTCTCGCTATCTGTCTGTCTGTCTGTCTGTCTATCTATCTATCTCTCTGTTGAGGAAAATGAAAGCCACATGTGCCACTTAAGCTGAAAGGAAGAAAAGCTGGAAGACATATGTAACCGATCAGTCACCATAAGTGGATTGCTGTGAGTTTTCTGGGCTGTATGGCCATGTTCCAGAAGCATTCCCTCCTGACATTTCAGTTAAACCCTTGTGCTGGCAGAAGTTCAAATCCGGTGAGAGTGCAGGTGAGCTCCCTCTATCAGCTCCAGCTCCCCATATGGGAGTATGAGAGAAGCTTCCCACAAGGATGGTAAAACATCAAAACATCCAGGCATCCCCTGGACAATGTCCTTGCAGACACCCAATTCCCTCACACCAGAAGCGACCTGCAGTTTCTCAAGTTGCACCTGACACAAAAAAAAAACCTCACATCTATGGCAGGTAACCTCAGAGGTTGACCCCTCAACCTCTAAGGATGTCTGCCATAGTTGTGGGCAAAACGACAGGAGAGAATGCTTCTGGAACATGGCCATACAACCTGGAAAACTCACAGCAACCCAGTGATTTCGGCCATGAAAGCCTTCAACAACACAATCACCATAAGTCTCATCTCACTGTAACTGTCACACATTTCATTAAACCGGATGTCAAAGATGAAGTCTTCATTTGCAGGGTCTGGTCTAAATTCATCCAGGTGTTCAGCCTTGCCAAGGCAGCAAAAGGATGCATCCAGAAGCAGACAACAAAGGGACTGACTACTTGGCATCTAGTCATTCTTTTAATTCTTAGGCATCAAGCATGTAACCTCGTACAGTTACATCACAGATCGGAATTACCAAAGCATGTTGTCAACAACAGTTCAGTACTAAATATTACCTCATGTCTAATGTAAAATGTTTCCAAATAATAAATAAGAGGGCCACGGTAGCACAGCGCTTAAAACTGCTAGCTGCAGGAAAAACTGCTGACCAGAGAGTTAGCAGTTTGAAGCTGTGAGTCACTGTGAGCTCCCGACTGTCAGCCCTAGCTTCTGCCAACCTAGCAGTTCGAAAGCAAGCAGTGCAAGTAAATCAATAGGAACCATCTTGGTGGGAAGGTAAAAGGGCACCCCATGCAGACATGCCAGCAAAAAGATCAGGACAGCAGGCTCCTCGGCATGTAAAATGGAACAAGAGCACCTCCCCATGGCCAGAGTTGAGCATCGCCTCCAGGTGCCAGAAAAAGGGGAAGGCCTTTACCTT